ATTAAGAATTTCAAAGACAGTCAAGCGTTAAACCAAGCCTGGGGTCCTTCTGAGTGTGGGGCCCAGGTCACACACCCTGAGCCCGCCCTGGCTGTGGACATGTGAAGTGTGAGATGCCTATAGACCTCCAGTGGAGCTGTGGAGCTGACACATGAGGCTGGAGTTCAGGGGACAGGTCTGGGCTGGAGATACGAATCTGGGGTCATCAGCATAAAGATAGTATTTAAAGCTGTGAGATTGGATGAGAGCATCAGAGTATAGATAGAAAAGAGAGAAGGACCAGTGACCCAGCTCTGGGACCTCCATCAGCTAGAGGTTGGGGAGCTGAGGAAGAACCAAAGAGGTGACCGAGAAGGAGCAACCAGCTAGGTGGAGAAGAACCAGGGTGGTATGATATCCTGGAAGCCATGGCAGACGTGTGTCAATCATGTGTCAGATGGGGCTGAGAGGGAGAGTAGGACGCAGACTGATGCTGCCTCCATGCTGGGGAGGGCACAGGTGACCTTAGTTTCAGTGATTTGGGGGGTTGGTGAAATATGTCTATTGATTTGCAAGAGCAAACTGATTTACAAGAGGTGAAGGGATTTAACCCTTTATCTGTCATGTGTTGCAAATAGTTTTTCACAAGTTTGGTGTTTTTTGTTTTGTTTTAACCCCTCTAAAGTTTAAAATTGTCTTGTGGTCAAGTCTGTCATTCTTTTAGAGTTTGTGGCCTTACCCACTGCAAAGTTTTAAAGACATTGTCCTATATTGTTTTCCAGTTGCTTATGAGATTTAAAAATATTTAAATCTCTAGTTCACCTGGAATGTACTTGTGTGTGTGGTTTGAGGTAGGGATCTACGTGTTTTCTCCCAAATGACTAGCCGGTTGTTTCAATACTGTTTATTGAGTAATGTCCTTTCCCTGCTGCTGAAGCTCTGCTCCTGTCATCTGCTAAATGTCCCCATAGTCTCATGTCTGTCCAGGTCTCACTGTTCAATTCCATTGATCTTTGCCTGGGGAGAGATTTAAGAAGTTGAGAGAATAGACCTGGTGATCGATTGGGGGTAGAGCGAGGAGGCGGAAGAGTGGAAGTTAACACGGTTTCCTTCGATGAGGGAAGAGGCCAGGGGAAATCAGGAACACCCCCACGCCTGTGTTCTGCCCTTCTCAGTGATGCGAGAAGTGAGGAAGGGGTTCAGGAAGGCTGGAAGGGCTCCAGACAGAAAACACCCCCCACACCATACTCTACTTCCCCACCTGCCATTTGGCTGGGTCTTGAAGGTTTTCCCATTTCCAAAAGCAACCTGTTAAAACCAAAATACTCCTGGCAGGGAATCACACATTGAATTTACAGCTAACATCTTAATTATCAGTTAACACCTCTGCAGGGATTAGCTGACAACCAGCTGAGGACACTGAATGGGGGTCAGGTGTCATGTC